GTATATATATATATATATATATATATATATATATATATATATATATATATATATATATATATATATATATATATATTAACGTGTGTTTATTTTTGTTTATCTGTATATTTTGGTGTGTGTGTGTGTGTGAGAATGAAGATAGAGGTGTGTGTGTGTGTGTGTGTGTGTGTGTGTGTGTGTGTGTGTGTGTGTGTGTTTTGCCTTTGTGTCCACGTCCGCCAGGCAGTCTCTGCGGAACTGGTCGAACAGTCCTTCGGTCTTCAGATGATTCACGATCACCGACACGAGCTGCGGGTCTCCGGGGTGAAGCGCCGCCATCACGGACACACCGACAACACAACCGAATACACCGATCCGTTACAGAGCCGCGGACAGCCGGAAGTTTATACCGCTAACTGGAAACGCGAAACAGGCGAGAAGAAGAAACTACAGCTCTGAACGAACGAAAGCGCCGCCTGTTGGTCTCCATGGGTCAGTGCAGTTCTGTGGGTGAAGATCGTGTGCTAATGAGTGTCAGGGAATGTTTTGTTTGATCATATGCTGTTATTACATTCATATTTAACAATTAGAACCACGACATATATTCACATTATTGCTGAAAAAACTGAGGAAATCATAATAATTAAATATATTATGAATAAAGTACTAATAAAGAAGCAAATACATTAATGTTTAACTAAATAATCAAGAAAAGAAGAGGTTCGGGAATTTTAGTAACACATATATGTGTATATATAATATAACACTATACCATATTATAATATACTAAACTAGTACTGATGATAATATAATAATAATAAACTTTGGAATGGGAGATATTGGACAATACGTGTGTCCAGTTACATTTGTGTGCATAAAACTTAATAATATTAATTAATAACATAAAGATTTTACTCTTATCCATACATTTATTAGCACAGTAAAATAGGATCTCTCTTCCTCATATTAATTTCAGATCCTCTCAATATAGTTTGGGTGAGGATCATAGACAGTATTAAAATAGGTGTTGCGCTTACTCCGTCATCTGTCTCTAAAGTAGACATGTTTTGCTCTATTAGGATACAGTTTAATTAGGTGCTGTTTTAACTGATGATCGACCATGGCAGATATGGAGAAATTGACATTTCTGACTCATGTCAAACCTTTTCAGGGTGTTTAGGGAGGAATTTTCATTCAATTTTTAGGGAAAACCTAATTTGTTGACTGTATAGGAAAGTCGTAGGGGTTTGGAAGGGCTCGAGGCTGAGTAACTGATGGCAGAATGTTTATTTTGGGTTGAATACACCTTTAAAACCCTGATGATCTTCTGGAATAGATGTGTCACTGTTGTTTCTGGAAGAACAGACTGTTGTTTCAGTCATAGATGTGTGATGTGTTTCTCCTAATCGGGGTTTTGCAGAAGACAGGGTGATACGCCCCTCTTACTTTTACAGCCAGACCATTTAAAACAGGTGATTAATAATTATTATATAATAATATATAATATATATAATTATATAATAAGACCCACAATCACCTCAGAGTGGGAAACAGCGCGAAATAGTGTGTGTTTAGCTGTATGTGAAGTTACTTTGGAACATGTTGTGATTATTAGCATAAGTCGCCCTTTTATTATTATAATGTGCTAATAAATTAAAAACGTTTCTGGCAGCGGTGGGATTCGAACCCACGCCCCCGAAGAGACTGGAGCCTTAATCCAGCGCCTTAGACCGCTCGGCCACGCTACCGTTGTGAACTACGCATTCCTGAGCGCTCTCAAACACTACATTACCCACCCACCACTTTTGTGTTCATATAACACGTCTCAGTCTTAACTGTTATTGTTTTATTTAGTATTTTATTTCAATTTCATTAATGTAAAAGTTTCCAACAAAGCCCACAGCAGAACAGCGACGATTTAATATCAAACGACTCACGAGTCAATGATTCACTTCATATTTGCCTTTGCATTCCTCGCGCATGAATGAATCATTTGGATGAATCGACTCACCTTATACTAATAGTCATTTACCACCACCTTGTGGTGACTTACTGTCATGTAAAAAGTATGTTGGCATGGTTTTATATATTTATTTAACTCAGTTATGATAAACAATTTATGTAAATGCCCATAGGCTTAATATAGATATATGAAAAACAACATAAGTCATTTATGCAAAGCTCAGCATGCAATAATCCACCTCAAACACTTAAAATGCTTTGCGGCCAATCAAAATGCTAAATAGCGGTTTTCCAGAACCAAAACTCAGCAGCTAAAATTATAAATAAAAAAATACAGCACTATTAGTGCAAGCAAATCAAATACACAGAAAATACCCACACTCATTACATGACTGACTTGTGTAATACAAATCCACTACTGAAATACAAAAGTACAATGAAAAGGCTGTTGAACAATATGCACAACAATCTTAATCCATCTATCTATTGCACGAAAGTAAGATAAGAGAATAAGCTGGATTTTGATGCTATGCTGGCTGAACTCAGCCTCAACTCAGATGCATGAAAACAGGATAAGTTAAGTCACTATGGAGATTTATTCTTAAATCTCAGCTAGCCTGAACTCCAGAGCAGGCTAATGACCAGGCTAAGATTAATCCTAGTGATTTAGGCTAGTCTTATTGTCAATGCAAACACTCCACACTATTGGCTACATAGATTTCCCAAATATTAGAATTAACTATGTTTATCTGTTCATATATATCTCCATTTCATATTAAAAAGTGCATATATAGATACGAGAGCTCAAAAACAGACCAGTATTTAGAGGAACTGTTTAGTGCATTTATTTTAAATAATAAAACTGCTTTATTTAACGACGTAATTAAAACAAAACAGACACAAAAGTATTTAAACAGCTTTATATATTTGACAGGATTAAACAAGACAGACAAGATTAAAACATGGATATGAACAGAAGAACAGCTATAATACAGTGGAGATCCTTTCCTCTGACACACACACAGATTGAGTCAGGTGTGTGTATATGTCAGGCCTCAATCAGGTCCTGTGGGGTCAGTGTGGCTCGGAGCTGCAGACGGGCGGCAGCACCCTGCGGGAGTTGGCCTTCACCCACGGGTGCTCCATCACACTGCGCAGCGGCAGGCGCATGGAGGGACTGTGGCGCAGCAGCTTGGAGATCAGGTCCCGCGCGCCCTCAGACACCAGCTTCGGGAACTGCAGATCCACCTGAAGCACCAACACACACATATTCTCACGTTTACCTGACCTACTCACACACATTTAGTGGTAAGCGGATATGTTGATGGCTGTAGTGTTGTGTGTATCGTGATTATCAGACTGACCTTAGTGATGCGCTTGTATGTCTCGGCGTGGCTGGCGGTCTCGAATGGAGGGTTTCCCACTAAACACTCGTAGCACAGCACACCGATGGACCACAGATCCACCTTCTCATCGTGACTGTGGCCCTCGATCATCTCTGGCGGCAGGTAATCCAGCGTACCGCACATCGTCCGCCGTCTGACACACACACAGAGACACGTCAGGTTATTCTGCTACGGTTTGTGTCTCTCTCGATGTGTGTGGTGCATTATGGGCCGTGTCTCTCTCTCTCTGGCAGTGTTACCTGAGTGAGGGCGCGTGCACAGACCAGCCGAAGTCTGCGATCTTCAGTTCTCCTCTGTATCCCAGCAGCAGGTTTTCTGGTTTAATGTCTCTGTGGATCACCTTCTTCTCATGGCAGTACTGCAGCGCGTCCGACACCTCCTCCATGTACTGACAACACAACATTATTACACTTCTACACCGCCAAAGTGCTTTACATTTCAATACCATTAAAATCAACACCCGCTGAGCTCAGTTTGCTTGATTAATGGTTTTGGAGTGGTTTATGGTGAGTGTCGGCGTTTCTGCAAGTAGGGGTAAATAAAATTAAGCGTTAGTGACACTCGAGCTCGCGTCCAATCACAGTGAAGGAGCTTCCTAAACTACACTCCCATTCAGGTGTAAGAATCAAGCACCGTTACTGTCGTGCCCAGAAGGGCTGTGCGATTCGCGAAAAACATCCAACTGCCATTATTTTAACAGGTATAAACTTCAGCTTAGTTTTAGTTAACTTTCAGCTACCTTAACTCTCTTTTATTCAAATTAGTCTGTAAATATTCAGAAATTGAGCACTCATTTTTCTCTAGAGCATTGAGTTAATCATCTCCTGGTGCCTTCCTGATGCTTTTCATTTGGTGTAACAGCTGCAAACAACTCTGACGCTGTACTGTGCTGCGGTCAGCTACTAGATTGAGCATCACTGCCAATACTTTGAGTTGACTTTTTAGCAAAGGCGCGAAACATCTGTGATTATATAAAATAAACGAATAAATGAACACATACACACCCTTACAGTCTCCGATATGATACCAATTACAGACAAACTACACACAGCAGACATTTAGTCCTTATTCGGGTTCAATATCAGCAGGATATACAGGCCAGAGTGAGCTGTATGTTTAATCTTCAGCAGCACACGGAGCCTCTGTTAGAGTCACTCCGGCATTCTCGAGTTCAGAACAGTCTGAATAGGAGATGATAAACATGGCCGTGTGTTCGTGATTCAGGCTCTTTTCACGCTTCACTCTTGTGTTTGTCAGTTTCTGACAGGATCAGGTGTGGCAAACACTTCTATAATCATGTGCACATTATTATCATCAGCACAAGACGTTCGTTATGTCAGATATAGAGGCGATCGCGAGCTCTCTGGAGAAAGCCAAACCGCTCACACTTACAACAAATAGCGCTTCCTTTTTCATTCTCTGCGAGTGACGCATCTCTGTAAACCAATAGTGTTCAGCTGTACGTCTAGCTCTGGCTTTTGTCCCGCTTGGTACCCTTTGCAAAGAGTAACCAAACAGTAGTACGGTCTGCTTTTATGGCTCGTTTCCACTGACTGGTAGAGTACGGGTCATCTTTATCAGGCTTTTGGTGGGTGTGGTGTATGACAAAGTTACAGTCGACGTCATTTTCACTCGAGAAAAGGTCTACAGTAAAGCTGTACGGGTCGCTCGCATATCATATGAGCAGCACTTCTCACAAAACAGACACTTTACACATGAATACTTGTGCATAAATGATTATTACTAACTTTTCTATGAACAGGATTTGCAGATCAATGACAGTGCGAAATAGCCTAGTGTATATAAATGAACATATACAGGCCCTTACAGTCTCCAATATGATACCAACTACAGAAAAAGCACACACAGCAGACATTTAGGCCTTATTTAGGTTGATAACAACACAAAATATAGCCTACAGTCAGCGTAGAGCATCATCAGTGTGTGTGATCTTCAGCAGCACATGATACAGACTCATTCCATCACTCGGAGCTCATATTAGTCCAGAAGCTGATGATAACAGTTAAACAGGGCAGTTTGTTGACGCTTGCTGGAAATATAATGTGCTTTCCTGCTTCAGGATTGGGTTTCAAAAGCGCATCAATAATCAGGCGCACGTCAGTATCATCAGCTCAAGAGGTTTGATATTTCAGATATAGACAAGCAAAACCGCTCGCACTTCAGACTGACTCGTAAAAAACTAGGAGGCACAGGGTTGATCTGCTCTTCTTGGCTTTGTGGCTGTTTATCAAGACAACGACAAGGTTTGTTTGAGCCCGGGTCGACCATGGCTTGTTAATATATGTATATTTACACTGTAAAAGATCTGTCGGCTGTATATTTTAAACATGGCGGATCCTTTGTTTTCACTCAGGCTTGTTTAAAGTGAATGACGCATCTCTGTAAACCAATAGCGCTCAGCTGCGCGTTTAGCTCCACCTTTTGGTGCCGAAAAAGTGGTAGGATTCAGTACACCTTTTGACAGTGGAAACGGCCATAAGAGCGTACCGTACCACTCAGTGGAAATGAGCCATAAATGAACAGTAGAGGCGTGTGTGAGACTCACAGTAGCAGTGCGCTGATCGTCAAAGTGTCCGTATCGCTGAAGCTCTTTGTACATCTCACCACGCGGCGCATACTCCAAAATCAGAAACACACGGGTGTCGTCATGGAAGTAGTTGTAGAAGCGAAGGATGTTGGGATGCCTGTTCATACACACACAATTTTAGTAAACAACACGAAAACTACGATAAAAAAACATGTTCATTAACAAATAAAACAGTCATGGAAAACTTACAAATAAAATGAACCAAAATTATAATCAAGACGCACGCCATATAAAACAAAAGAGGTTGCCTAAAGAGTAAACTAGGCATGTTCACTTACATATACACCGATTTGATCATGACAACATTTGTCTGAACTCTTCATACTGCTATTGGTCGCATCGGTATAGCTTTAGCTTCAGTGTTTGTACAAACTATTCTTTTAACCTCATCATTAAGAGGTTTGGATCAGTAAACAGAAGCCAGTGTGGAGCATCAGAAACACACACACACACGGACCTGAGGTGTGACTGTATCTCGATCTCCCTGCGCAGCTGATGCTCCACTCCCTCTTTTACCATCTGAGACTTGAAGAGCACCTTCAGCGCGATCACCACCTTCAGCTTCCGCTCGCGCGCCAGATACACGTTCCCGAATTTACCCTTTCCCAGAGGACGGCCAATGTCAAAGTCATCGATGGACAGCACTCTGGGGGAAGACAACCGCAGACATCACACACACACACACACACACACATGAACAAAACCATACCAGTACAGCAGTGTGTATAAATGTGCCTCCACGGCTTTTCCAGGTCTAGAAATCATATTAAAAGCCCACACACACTCCAACAGCCACGCAAACACTGGATATTAATGAACAAATATATGTTCAACTCACTTGGAGTTTGACTTGACAGGAACTCTGCCAGGACCTGAAAGAAGACCACAACCGTCACGGCACGTCTACACTTCAGCTCGGGTAAAAACAAATCAATAAAGTGTTTTACCTGAGACTGCGTGTGTGTCTGGATTCATCTCAACTCTGAGCGGACCCACACCAGCAGACTGAAACACACACACACACACACAGACACACATCAGATATACAAAACACCACACACACACACACACACAATGACCAGACAGACACACACTGGTTTCTTTTCGTGAATTGTGGGGACACTGCACATTTTCTATTTAAAACAAGACAGAAACACACACTGACAGACAAATATCACACACACAAACACACGTTAGCTATACAGAAACACACTGACAAACACAATGATCACACCGACAAAAACGACAGTTAACGTTAAGTTATACAAACACATACACACACACGATCTGTAACGTTACCGGTGTTTGTTGAACTTTGGGTTCCCGGTTTTCTTTATTCTGATGAAAAACAAAAAAACATCATCATCGATCAGAACACACACTTAAAGAAACAGAACAGTCATTAGACATGTAAACACCACATTCCCCGTATTTTATTGCGGTAAAGCGTGGACGCCATGTTTGTTTTTGTATTGACAGCCTTTAACCAGTTAGTCGACCACTGCTTTAGTACAAATATCATAATTAAACTAGAATTAGTGGAGC